GTTATATAGGTTTTTTAAAACGTCGAAAAATCTTCCTGATATACCTGCTGATAAGAGTTTGAAAAGTAGACCCTCGTGCCAGATAGAGTCAAATGCTTCGATAAATCTACAAAGCAGGCAAAGAGCTTTTTGCCTGGTTGGGTATGTTTAGAGATTAGGGTCTTTAAAAGAAAGATATTGTCAGAGGTTCTATAATTTTTACGGAATCCTGTCTGGTTTGTTTTTAGGATTTTATTGTCCTCCAGAAACATCGAGAGTCTTTTGTTCAATATTGAGGTGAAGAGTTTTCCTAGGCAGCTTGAAATAGAGATGCCCCGATAGTTATTTGTGTCGTCCTTTTTTCCTGTTTTGTAAATTGGAACAATGAAACTTCTGGACCATTCCGTGGGAAAGGTTCCTGTTGAGAGGACGTTATTGAATAGAGTCATGGGGGGGCGGAGTATGAGAGATTTACCTGATTTCAGCATTTCATTAGTTATCATGTCCTGGCCGCTAGCCTTTTTATTTTTTAAGTCCTTGAATGGCAGCGTCAATTTCTGATGCTGTAATATCATAGTCTAATGGGCCTAGGGAGTGGTTACGATTTTGAGGTATTTTGAGTTTGTTAATAATAGTAGTTTCAAAGTTAGAGTCAAACTCTTGTCTTTGTAATGAAGATTTTTCATGAAGGGCTTTAAAGTGATTTATCCATGTGTCCGCTGGTATGTCCTCTTGGTTTGTGGAATTTGTCTGCTTTAGGTCTTTAAGTAGGTTCCAGAAGGCTGTTGGGTTATTATCTTGTAGTTTTTGCAGCTCCATTAAACAGTCAGTTTCATGTTCCCTTTTTCGTTTTCTGATTAGTTTTTTTTAAATTCTTTTTTCTTTCTAAAGTAGCTACCTCTTACGAATGGATTCTTGGGGTTGTTTATTAATAGATATCTTATATTTTTCAATTCTGTACGCGCTTCATAGCAGGTCTTGTCAAACCATTTTTTGTTTCTTTTTAATTCTTTTGACTTCTTTTTACATCTTATTTGTAGTGATATCTTTCCTGCCGATACTAGAATGTCTTGAAATTCTCGTACATTTTCGTTTACCTTTTTTGTTGAATGCATTGCATTTTCATCTATCGATAGAAATTTGTTTAGTCTTTGGGAAATTGTTGGGCTTCTGAGGGCTTTTATAAATTTCTCGCTAGAATCAGGGCCCCAGACAAACGACATGGTAAAGGGTGTAACTTTTCTTCAGTTTTAGCGTTTTCCTGGGAGTGCGCTAAGGCGCGTATGTTTAAAGATACCATACAATGGTCCGAAAACTCAGTCAATTGGTGGACTTTAAAGAAGTTAATGTTGTGGAACAGTGAGCTACTAGAGATGGCGTAGTCAACCGTGCTACAGCCGTTAGGTTGGTAGCACGTAAATCTACCATTCAAGTCGCCCAGTATTCTTCCGTTTAGTATGTGTAGATCGGTCTGTACACATAAGTCTATGAGGCATTTACCAAAAGAATTAGCTGGGTTTCTGTCGGTAAAATTTTTTGGGATGTCTACGTTGTGAGCGGGACAGAGTGGGTCCATGTCAAAATCTAGGGTTTCTTCAACATTAAAGTCTTGTAAGGACCCAATTCTACTGTTAAAGTCTCCCCCAAGAATTATATGACCCTTGGCCTTAAAGAGCGCTATGTCCTGCTCTAATACATCAAAAATAGAATCCTCCGCTGCTTTGTGGACAGGACTAATGTAGACATTACATATAAATACATCTTTAGATAGACCTAATAAATCTTTTGACACGCAAACCCAGAGTAAATCTTTGCAATCAGAAGTTCCTCGCTCTCTTTTAATAAATTTTGAGAGATCATTTTTGAAGTAAAAAATTATTCCTCCTGAATTTCTTCTAGCTTTCTTTCTTTTTTGTCTCAAAGATGAAAAATGTTGGTAATTCGGAATGTCAACTTCTGAAGATTCATTACTCCAGGTTTCAATGAGAGAGAAGAGATCTAGTTTTTCCAAACTACTTCTAAAGCTACGATCTTCAAGTTTCTTTCCTAATCCGTGAACATTCCAAAACCCTATGTTCAATGTGTTCACCGGTTTCATAAGTTTTCTTTCTTAGTACGAGAATGATGCTCGACGTGGTCCCTACTTTTACGATAATGTTACATATAAGTTGTACTTGTGCAATATAGTTGCATAAACTTAAAAAAAAAAAAAACTAAGTAATGTTACATATAAGATGTACTTGTGCAATATAGTTGCATAAACTTAAAAAAAAAAACTACCAGTATTTCCTGCTGGTATCTATCATTACTTGAGCTTGCGTGTTATCTTTACCATAACATATTATTGTTTGATACCATACAAGTTTAAGGATATACGATTTGTGTTACCACTCTCTGAAGTTGTAGCGCTAGTCAGGGAACTCCTCCAGCTGCCTCTGCATGCGCCAGTCTGCTTCGTATGTGCGCCAGTCTGCGTTGTGTCGATTCCAGTTTGAGGCTCTTTGGTCACGTGGAAGCCAGTCGAGGTTGTGAGAGCGCCAGTCTTGGCGTTGTTCTCCCTCCGGGACCCTGTATGGACTTGGTCTGTCTCGAGGGCACCAAGAGCGCTGGTCTGGGTTGGTCCAGTCACAAGGGCGCGATCCTACGTTTAGTTCGTCACGAGCGAACGAGTTCGGGTACGGCTCGTCGCGAGGCAGTCGGTCACGAGCGAACGAGTTCGGGTTCGGCTCGTCGCGAGGGCGTCGGTCACGAGCGAACGAGTTCGGATACGACTCGTCGCGAGGGCGTCGGTCACGAGCGAACGAGTTCGGGTTCGGCTCGTCGCGAGGGCTACTGCCTGGGTTGGTCCAGTCACGATTTCTGTTTTGTTCTGAAGATTGTAATTGGTTGTTTTCCGACCCCGGTTTTCTGTTCTGTCGGTTTGCGGTGCAGGGTCAGTACTCCATCTCTGTCCTCTATTGTAGGTACCCATGCCTACCAGGGGATGAATTGCAGTCTTCCAGTTTGCTGCAAGTACTTTTAGGCCGTCTCTGTTGAGGTGGTACCCGTCTTGTTTGTACAAAGCTCTCTTTATGGATCCGTCTTCGCCGAGATTGTCATTGTCCGCTAGACTGATGAAGGCATTCTCTTGATGAAGGATGTGCAGGAAGGTGTTAACGTCGCGTGTGACCTCCATCAGTTGTTTGTCGTTCCTCGGGGGTATAGCAGACATAACGATGTTTGTGTTCGGTATATTTGATCGTGTTGTGGTTACCAGCTGTCTGAGGTTTTCTGTTACACCGTTTGCCGCCCTTTCTCCCTTATGTCGTTTGTCCCCATGTGATAGACAATGCATTTGGGATCCGAGTAGTTCGTTTCCGTGATCAGTTCTATGGCCTGAGGGATTTTCATTGCTGAGTGTTTGGCAGTTGGCTTGCCCGGGTAAAGCACGCTGGGAACAATTCCTCTGGTGTTCGAGTCACCGATGATGACTATTTCCGCTAGGATTGGGTCATCTGAACGCCTTTTCTGCTGGTCGTGTCTGCGACTGCCCATTATCACGGGAATCTAACTTCCGTTCAACTTGGGTCATCGGAGTGTTGTCTGCTAGGACTTCAAAGCTGTTGTTAGTTGGGATATTCGGCACGACGCGGGTGTTTGTGGTTTCAGGTGTTCTTGGAGCACGTGCAGAGTCGCCCGTCTGGGATGTTGTTGGGCCTGCTTTCTTAACACTTTGTTGTTCCAAAAGTGTTATCCTGTTTCGCAGGTTTTTGTTTTCTGCTTCTAGTGCATTGATACGTCTTTTTAGCACTTCAATGTCGGATAGTCTCGCCAAGTTCTCCACTGGAGGGTCTTTTGTTTTAGACAACTGGATTTCCATTCGTGAGATTCGTGCCGCCAAGGTGTCAAACTTGTCATTGTCAGTGGTGACTCTGCTCATTAGAATGGACTCCAGCTTGTCTACACTGATCTGAAGAGAGGAAAGCTGAGCATTGTTGTTGTTATCTTCTAAGTTTGGTGCACTGTAGGCCGCTTTAGGAGTGGTTTCGTTGGTCGTCGTGTGAGCACTGGTTGCAAACATACTCCCTTTCTTCATCAGTGATCAATGTATACAGTAGACTTTGTCGGAGTCCTGTACACACATAGTGATACCACTGTTGGCACGAGTTGCACTGAATTACACCTTCATCTTCGGGGCCGGGCTGCTGACATTTGTTGCATATAATATCCTCACACATGACTTCTGTGGTCGGGCTTGTTGCCAGTAACTGTTCTTTGAGATGTTCATAAATGAACATAACCCACAGATAGTACGCCGAACCTTGTACTAGTATTTTAGACGTATGGTACACGTGGAGCGTAACCGATCCAATCTCGTCGTTAGTCTGGGGATCGTGGAAGGGGACGTTTAGTTGGCGGCCATTTTTTGCCCTTGTCTTCAGTGGACATGTTGTAGTGAGATTCAATAGCTTCTGTCCAGTGTTTGTCTGAGCCCGCAGGTATGTGAATAGTTACACTACCGCCGTTGTGTTGTACGAAGTACTCGTCACTTGGTGGGTGTTTCTTGTGATGTTTGGCCGGCTCCGATATTACATTTGATTTGTCGTAGGCTGCCCGGCGGTCATCGTTTGACAGGACAAAGAAAGCTTTGCTCACCTCTGAGAAAGTTTGTCTCGCTGTGCTCAGTAGACGCTTGTCCTTCGTTGTTTTCTAAAGTCTTCTCGTAGCTTGAGACTTTATCTTTGTTAGGCCGCGATGATGTCCTCTTTCCTCGCGCCGGCTGTTGTTCCCAGTAACAGGTACAGTTCGCCAGGTGTTTGCGCGTCGTTCGCCATCTTGTCGGCTTGGGTCTTTGTTCTCGGGATGTTCTCGTCTCCGGCTACAAATCTTCCCCTTTTTTACGTCAGCAAACTCAATATAGCTGACAAAACTTACATGAACTTGATCTATACGGCGTTAGCAATAAACTACGCGTTCTTAGGATGCGACAATTATCGTCAAAGTAGGGACTTAGTCGAAATCAGTCGAAATCAGGCGGAGCGATGCGACAGGGGTGTCCGTCCGCCGCCATCTTGGAAGAGATCAAGTGCACAACTGGAGGACAGGTAATTTTGTCTGCATCTTTTAGAATCACAGTGCATTATCCATCACTTCTAACATGAGTTATAAATGACTAGTTTCATCTACTCATGCTGCACATACATTCAACAGCATTTTTTTTAAATTCTTCATTAACATTGCATCCTGTAGAATCACAGTTCATTATCCATCACTTCTGCCATGAGTTACAATTACCAGTTCCACATACATTCAACAGCATTTTTTTAAATATTTTCTTCATCATTTTTCTGTATTGATGCAAAAAAAAGGATGTTAAAAAGATAATGGCACTTAAAAGTTTTACATAAATCTGCTGAATATATGACATGAGAATTGATTTAATTTAGTAAACTGTTCCTTTATTACAGGTGTATGAAAGTTATGAGACTTTAATTCGAGAAAACTTATTCCTAGTCCATTATATGGCATTTATGTTTTTGTTTTTTGTACATTGTGCAGCCCATCACATTGTGCAAAGTGACTAAGGCAAGGAAGGCCACCACAGATGTCACACCAACAACAGCACGGCGCAGAGCCCATGAGCTGCAGGCCCTCCGACAGGTGACAAATGGAGGGGACACAGGGCTGCAGTTGGCTCGTGAGCTTCGGCTGGTTCCCCGAGACGAGCTGCAGGATCTGCTGAAGTCAGTTTCCCTGGATCAGATCCGGATTCCTGATGGCCACTTGTTGGCTGCAAAGGTGGACTTGAACATGACCTACAGGCAGACAAGGGAATTAAAGAGGTATGTTACTTTCAGCTCTTAAACCCATCAAAATATCAAGTATGGTCAGTTAAAAGACATGACACTGGGCCTGACCCTTGCCATCTAGCCCACCAAATGTAAGCTTCTTACAATGCAGCCCCTGGCACCCATACACTGTACTGTACTATCTTCTTGTTGTTGTTTTTTTTGTGAAGAAACAGACTGGAGGGAATATCACACTTATTCTGTCTTCAATTATTACAGAACTAGCAACAGCACTGAGTGTTGTTAATGTACAAGTATTTCCTTTTTCAAGGTGGCTGAAGGAGTATAACATCACCTTGGAGTCCGAAAGGACATCTCGACAGATCACCAAGTCACTCCTTGAAGAGCATGGCGTGTGGTGTCAACTGCTACCCTTCACAGCTAGAGATGGTGATGGTGGCCACACAGTCAAACTCCTCCCAGCAGCTGCGGTCAACTCCCTCAGAGCAACAGTGGATGCTATTGTAAGACGGAATGCTGAAGAAGGGTAGGTCATGCTAGCTTTTCATTCACAGTTCCATGCTCTTGTAATAGGTTCCTTTACTGATTTTACTTGAAGTCCCACTCTACCTGGTTTGTCTGGAGCTCAATACATAACTGTTACAATATCCCATCATCATAATATTTCATACTCTATTATTATTATTATTATAAAGAGTTGATGTATACAAAAAGTTTTGCTTCCAGTATTCCTAATTATGCACATTGTCAGTTTATTGATTAGTATAATCATTTATACTTGTACTAGTAACACAATAAATTCAGAAACATTCTATATGTACATATTTGTGTAGGAAGCTTACATGGCATGAGGGAGTAATTCCTGCTGGTGAGCTGTGGATTAAGATCCTTGGAGACCATGGTGGCGGGAGTTTTAAGATGGCGTTCCAGGTGCTCAACAAGGAGAGTCCAAACTCCAGGACCAACACTGTAGTCTTCAACATCTTCAATGCCAAGGACTCCAGGGAGAACCTGGCCACAGGCATGGGCAGATTCTCCCAGGAGATTGATGAGCTGCAAGGGAGACAATGTAGGTAAGCATCAACAGGGATGTCAACATAACCTGGGCACTATACTGCTACCTACCAAAATACACAGATATTTTCAAATATGTGCCACTATTGGAGTTAAGTCTGAAAGGCCACACTCTGTGTGCAAAAACAAACAGCTGCAAGAAATAGTAGGAAGTACACATTTAATACCACTCTGGTAGGTACAGTTTAAAGTGTGACTTCCTGGTATGAAAGATGAACATAAAAGATGGATGTAGGAATAATGTATGACTCAGTGGGAAGTTCAAGGGTCAATGTCAACAATCTTTCTTCTTTCGTTCAGGTTACCAGATGGCAGAGACGTTCAGCTTCGCATATTTGCAGCTGCTGACTATGCCCTACTTTCAAGTTGGTATGGCATTTCTGGAGCATGTGGTATGTACCTAATTGATTTTTGGTCTGTGTTACTTATTTCCATAAAAGCTACCTAACAAGTACACTCCATTTTCTCCCTACTGCATTATCAAATCCCCATGAGCTTAGGTTGAACTAAACTAAGTTGACAGGATCATAAAGCATTCACTACAATATATGACTGCACAGGAACTTGACCATGCCTATGGTGCGAGAGCAGAAAGGAAATCATGGTTCTGGAAAAAGATGAGCGAGGACTGATGGATTTCCCTGCACGAGACCTGACCAGGATGGCCATTCAGTACGCCAACTTCATTAGAAATGGCAGGGGAAGGCTGAAGTTTGCAAAGTACTTCAAAAATGTGGTGGTCCCGGCCATGTTGAACATCCCCCTTGACCAGGTCAGTGTGCCTCAATATCTATCTTACGATAGAAACAATAATAGCTTTCCTATTATATGAACACAGACACATAATAATAAGCATTATTTGATTATGTTACCTTCCTCCTGATGTTTAAGTGAAGGACCAGTCATCACCATCCCTTTGCTGGATTGTAAACCATAGAAATTATTGATATGTTTCAAACAGGTGTGCATACCAGGTCTCCACCTGAGTCTGGGAATCTTTCACAAGATCTACGTCATGCTTGAGAAGGACCTGCATGACCTGGACAAGATCGTGGCGACTCACCTGGCAAATCGAGTCCTCCGAGATGAGGAAACAGATGGGGCCCAGGTTCTACACCACCACCACCTTCATGGCCTTACTCGTTACGTGGAGGCTGTAGAAGAAGCACGCCAGATTGATGATCAAGTGGAGGACATTAGTGAAGAGATCCTGCAGAAAAAGAACTACTTGGCATGGGCCCTACTTCAAACAGACTGTGACATGGAAAACATCACTGAAATCTCAGAGGAAGTTGAACGGCTCATGGCAGACAGGCAAAAACTGGTGAATTTTGCACATTTTCTTTTAAGCATTACCTGCATGAAATATTATCATTTAATATAATATGAACCAAATGAAAATAACTGTCTTATCTCTTTTTTTTCTTTTATTAAATGTTTGAAAGAATATCAATATGGCAGGGCACGATCCACTAAAAATCAATTGTTTTGCTACTTCACACCTGTTTTATTCTCTAAACATTACAATAATAACTTTATAAACATCTTTCATGTTTCATTAGGAACTAAAGTCAGCAAAGATCAAAGAGAAAGGACACATAACAACAAGGAATGGGCCCCTTGCAAGTCTGCTGGAGAGGGTTCTCCAAGAACACAACGTGAGGAGGCAAGCTTACCATGGGGCTGCGTTTGTGGGGAATCACGTGGAAATAATGCTGAAGGTATGTCATGTTAACTAGACACTGAATTATTTCCTGTGTAAGAATATTATATATATATACCATACATACATACTTTAATATATACAAAATGTACATGTAACATGGCTGTCTCGGAGTGTCTCCTCAAAAGCTCACTAACAAGTCTTACACTTATACAGGAAGAATCTATCAAGGCCCTGACAGCTGTGGCGAGAACTGCTGCACAAGACTTTGTGACGGAGTTTGAGGCGTTTCCGTTAAGCATCATCGGAAGAGCGAGCAACATTCAGCAGAAGTATGAGAAGATCCTACTACTGTTTGGGAAGTGCTATAAAGGGTATGCACATGGTAATGCGGTGTCGGAAGAGGACATTTCTGTGCTGGGTGAGAGACATTATCAATATCAACACTAAAATTATTTACATAAGTTATCTTGAGCTGTCTTGAATATATGTACAGAAATATGATGATATATATATAATATGCACAGAAAAGAAGAAAGAGATAGACAAAAAGACAGCTCTAATGCAGGGTACATTGCTCCTCATAATTTCTGCACCTTTAAGCAAAGAAAGCACTAAAATACCTTTAAGTTTTTCAGCACTTGAGTCAACATTGTCTGCAAGTTTTCTGCAGAAAAACCTGAAAACAGATTTAAAGGAGGAAAAATGTTAACCATGACAATCATAGAAATATCCAACATATGACTAATTAAATTTTCTTCTTTTACACTGCAGAGAGGGACATCAACCACTTCATGGGTGCGTTCAGGGAGATGTTTCCTACGGCATCTATAACAGTTAAGATGTACATGCTTGAAGAGCATGTTGTACCCTGGATGCGGAAGTGGAAAATGGGACTAGGTTTCCATGGAGAACAAGGCATCGAGGGGATCCATTCTGTATTCAATAACATCATCAGGGAAAGCACTGGCAGTATTCCCAACCCTGTTAGTAGGCTCCAGTCCACACTTGAGAGGCACCTCCTACAGGTTTGCCCATCACTAAAAGGGGGTGTCCCAGCACCAAAACGAAGGAAGTGATAGCATAGAAATAGTACATTTGTAGTAGTTTACCTGTTTAGTGTTTTAACATTTGAAATAGAAAACAATGATAACATAGCAATTGTACATTTGTATACCTAGTACCTGTATAGTGTTTGAAATAAGAAATCTCAATGATTTCTTCTGTTCATGATTGCATACATCGTCATATTCCATACAATTTGAACCATGGAATTCTATTTTCCATTGTTGATAGAACACGGGTAACACAAGGTTACCTGTTTACAGTCAATGTATTGTGAGTGCCACTATTCAAAAATGTATTTGCCAAGCAAAATTGTTAGACCTTCAAATGAAAGCTTGCCTCAGCAAAAAAAATCCCTGTATTACCTCATCCTTTATGCATTATTTGCACTTTGCGAGTTTGTCAATGTACCTACCTCTGGTCATTTTGGATGTATGGTTGAAAGCTTTGTACATGTGTATACTAGTAGTTTACATGTACTTTATTTATTGCGTGGGACTATTTTGGCCGATTTCTACTCTTTCCAGCCGCCTCCTCAAGCCTGGTAGAGGCTACAACTCTCCGTCAGTCAGTCTGTGACACACGGAAAGCTCTGCGCCAAATGAAGTCAATTCGTTGGTTGGCGTCACGGTTCAGTTTTGCTTTCACCTCTTTGCGGTCTGCGCTCAAAACAAGTCAATTCGTCATGGCTGTCGACACAGGTTCAGTTTTTGGCGACGCCTCAGGGGGGAGCCTAATGGCACAGTATTGTGTGTAGTTTGCAAGAATTCTAGGAATTGCACAGGCATTTTTTTCCACAGGCATGGCATGTCTACAGGCATGTTGATGGCACACTTTTATGGACACATTCCTACGTAGTCCTAAATCCTTGCCCACATACCCAAATGCCTTTCAAGTGGAAGTTTTACATTCTTCCCACATTTCTTCCCACATGCCTTCCAAGTGGATGTCTTAGCATTCCAAGTGGAAGTCCTACATTCTTGCTCACATTCCTGTCCCACATGCCTTCCAAGTGAATGAACTACAAACTCCTAAAACATTTTAGAAATACTTCTGTGAGTACAGTCGATAGTGATCAGATGTGCTGTTGTAGTACCAGGTAGCCGCTTGTGTTGAGTGTCCGTTGGATAGGTAAGTTTTCCATATACATTATCTATGTCTAGTTGTCAAGGTCATGATTTGGAGTTAGTTTTTTTTAAGTTGCCAACACTAGTCAAAGAAGTTGCCAACACTAGTCAAAGTGTGTGTTGTTTTAGGATCTGTTATGACAATAGACAATAGCATTTTAAGGAGGGCCCCGCATGCCCATTTTCCGTAGAGTGTAATTGACTGTTTTAATTCTACGACTGTAACCGGACCGATCTATTAACGCGTGTCCTGGATGGTAAGTTTGCCATGTTCAATGATGAATCCTATGATGAATTCTACGTAAGTCAGCAGAAGACATAGACTTTAATAAATTGATCTTAAATGTTAATATAATTTATAGAGACCATGCGCGTTTTTTGTGTAAATACTACTCTACTGGAATTTGGAAAATGACGAACGCTGTCTTTCCACCAAGCTTCTATTGAGTCGCATGGTTGGGAAACATTCAAGTTGATATTTATGAGTTCAAAAAAATCGGCGAGTACAATATTATCATGTGACCCGTTTCTAGCAAACTAGCGCATTTGAAGCTTGCGTTGTGTATAGACTATTACACATATTAGATGTTTTGTGCTACCGTTTTACAAGAAGTTCTAAATATAACAACTCTTCATGAATGGAAATGATTGTTCATATAAATTTCGATTTCATTACAAATTCAAACTGTTGACACGGAGATCAGTTAGCTAGGATAGGCTAGGTATATCGCGAAGTTAACTCCTCACGAACATAAATGCACTTACATATATGTTGTACACATCAGAGGTTGACATTGATAGGTTGTTGACGTTGGTTGGCATAACCAAATATATTGACTAGATCAATTTTGTTATAGGACAATGTAGAAGTACACATGTATTTTAGAGTTTTTTTTGTGCATGCAGTCCTAAGTATGCCGTATACGTAAAATTAATCATGTATGATATATGACAATACATCTGCATACTATCTACACCAGAGAGAGATTTGTACTTCTGTAAGACCATCGACACAGGTGTTTTATACGGCTTTATTTAGCCTTAAATGGATTTCCTGTTACATTACCTTAAGTTTGCCTGGCCATAGGGTGCTTGCGGAAGGCCTCCGGTTAGAAAAAATACCACCCAAAAACGACAACTGCAAGGGGTCATTCGCACCTTCTGCCATGTGATGACTTTTTGAAAACTAGTAGAAGGGAAACCTTTTTTTCAGGCCCAAGATCATCAGTTTTGGCTTGCACAATAATTCCTCTCCGGCTGTCACACAGTCCTATGTGAACTATTTCCGCCCAGAACGTTGGTCCTCTGCGTGCCCAGTTCCAATTTCTTAGCCACCTCAGCAATATATCCTGTAACTGTACATGTCAAGTCCAGTCCGTGAAACGCGGGTGGTCGTCTTTAAATTGTAGGTTACTCAGATGTGTTGTTGCCATTTACGATTTAAGCGCTTAGTGGTGGTGTGATTTCTCCTGACGAGAACAATGACATTTCATTCGGGAGCTGTTCGATTTGGAACAACGTGGAATTTGTACAATGCCTGCCCTTCGCCATGCGCTGAAAACCGGTGGGACACATAGTGGTATGGTTGCTATGCCTGCATTCTTAACATGCGCTGTAAACCCTAGGGATTTGTGGCATGTCGTCAATGCCTGTCTGCACATGCGCTGAAGTCTTATGGATGTCCTACTTTCTGGCCCTCATTCCCACATGTCTTCCAAGTGGATGTTTTACATTCTTGCCATTCCCACATGCCTTCCAAGTGGAAGTTTTACATTCTTGCTTCCATGCATTCGCACATGCCTTAAAACATTCCTTCCAAGTGGAAGTCTTCAAGCCTTCCAAGTGGAAGTCCAACATTTTTGCTCACATTCCTTTCCCACATGCCTTCCAGGTGAATAAACTACAACCTCTAAAGACATTTTAGAATTACTTCTGTGAGTAAAGTCGATCACATTGTGAATCTGAACATGTTGGGAAAATGCTGAGAAGGAGACTTACAGATATGCGCTGATGATGTCTTCGAAGCTTCTACAGTTTTCAAAAGGGAAGTCAAACCCTTCAGACATAGTTTTAGACATGGCTACAATTTTAGACAACTACCTTTCATCATGTAGATTTTAGTTATTTTATATACTGTTCTTCATTGTCCTTTTATTATTGTAACTGACAATTAGCCTCTGGGCATGAATTTGAAATAAACT